TAGTTTAATTGTTATTTTTAAGACCTGAGCTTCATTAAAAGCAGTGGCAGTCAAGTTGCGCGTGAATGTTCAGCTTGTCCATGAAGCTGTTATTAGTGCCGTTAAAAAAAGGATACAAAACACACAAGATGTAATTATTTTTGTTAGAGATACTTTGGTAAAAAAAGCAACTAACTTTCAATGCACTGATGCTCTCACTGCAGAGGTAAGTTTTCAAACTAAGTAGTAAATGCTTTTGTCCAGAAAAATATAAATTTTTAAATTGTAACTAAACTCTGAGTTATTTTATATTTTAAAAACATGTTATCTGTTTAACATTCGTAGCAATGCGATGAAATTGCTTTGATCGGAAAAAACCTCAAGTTATCGGCTATAGAAGTTGCAAAAGCAGTAAGACAAGCTGTTGCAAGGCCAGTTGAAGTTGGAGTAAAGTTATATGTTGCAGTATTATTTATTTTAGATGATCTCAAGAAAAACGTTAAATGTGAAACTTTTGTTTCAGAAGACGTGAGAAAATATTTTTCTTTTTTATACGTTTTCTTTGATCCCCTTTGACTGCTCCTTTTTAAAAATTCGATGAAATATCGTGAACTATTATTTTCTTTTTGCAAAATGTTGCTTTCTTATTGAACATAAAATATATTTTCTATACTTTTGTTGTTTAAAAAATGATTTTCAATCAGTTATTAAGCAATTTAAGTTTAAACATTGTTTACTAATACGTAGGTGTGCAAAAAAGTTGCTAATTACGCCATTAGCCTTAAACTTAGCGCGGAAGATGCCACAAAAGCTGTCAAAGAGGCCATTTTACAAGGTTATCGTGCAACTAGCATACAAAAAATATGATAAAAATTTTTTAGAAACAATATTTATTTACATGACTTTATTTTGTTTTTATTATTAATATAATTATTTGTATATTTCTTCATTAGTTTTGTTATTCATGCCTTCCCTAAGTTTTCTTTAATTGCCTTTATTAGAGTAAATATTATTAAATAATTATTTTTAATTGTAACAGCCAGATATTGGTTTTAGGTGCCAACAATGCAGCAGATTACTATAACAAGGCAACTGAATACCTCAGAGCTCAAATATCTTGCGAAAACGTCCTTTCAGTTGAGGGGAAGTTCCATAATTTTTTTTTTGCTTTTAATGATATAAGAGTATTGAAATAATAATTTTATTTTAATTGCATTTTTTTGAAATTTATAAACCACAAAATGTTGAAAAAAAATCTATTCAGACATGCAAAAAATTCCTAAAATTTGCCGATACCCGACGGGCATTTGTTTTTAAAAGTTACGTTCTAAATGTGTTTTAAATGTCTTTTAAACGTCTTTTAAACATTAATGTTTAAAAGACGTTTAAAAGACATTTAAAATACATTTAGATCGTAACTTTTTAAAACAAATGCCCATCGGGTAGATTCAGCGTGTCGTTAATAGAAGTCAATTCAGCTTTACGCTTCGCTGTTGCAAGTGGTATCACTAAAGTTACAGATCTTTACAAACATGCTGTTAAATTTATAATAGAGAAATGGAACAAAGTCTAGGGAGACGAGCCATCAATGTACAAAAGAAGCATTGGTAAAAGACCATCAGAGTCATTTTCATCATATTCGAACAACACAATACGTAGGGTCAAGTCATCATTGGCCCAACTTAGTGTGCAACTCGCATAATTTGTTATCTGTTATGCAATTTAAATATTTTTTTAGTTAAATCAATTTTATATCTTATTTTTCATTTACTTTGAGTTTAGAAAATGAAGCCAAATACAGACTTGTTCGAACTATTGATATGCTTGTGGATGTAATCACAAAAGATTTTTAGAGTTAACACAACAACAGCAACAACATTAACAATAACAACAACTACAACAACATTCTTAACAGCAGAAAACAAAAACAAAAAATCTGTTAGAAAATAAATAATTTTTTGTTTTTAAATAAAATCTAAATATTATTTCTGTCTAAACTATTCAGCTATATTTTATAAAGTAATAATTAAAATCTATATTTACTTCCTCAAGTTTTTGATGCGTAGTTTAATCCTTACACACGTGACCTAAATCCTCTTATATAGAACTTATTACGTGACTTTGCTGGCAGTGCAGCTATATATAAAATTCCTAAACCCAATATATTTAAAAACTAAAAAGTCAAACGGTTATTCTTTTTTTATGGGACCGACTCAATTCTCATAAGAGCATCATTTGCTCTGTGTATGTCAGATAATCTGTGCAGTAAAGTACTGTTCTATCGTTCAACGCGCTAAAAAATTTTATTTATTAAAAAAAAAAAAAATTGGCTATTTTTCATTTTTTTGGCATTTTTCGGAAATTTCTTCGAGGTAAAATTTAAGCTTTGTCAAATATGTTGTGAGCTATTGTGGAACAAAAGATTGCATTCTACCCATAATCCTCTATGATTTCTTAAATTTGTAAACTTTCTCTTGCTAATAATTTTTTAATAAAGCCATTCATGCTAATGCTGCTGCAATTAAAATCAACATAGGAAAAAGATTTAGTTGAGCTCGAGATGATCAACTGTACTTTATTAATACCCCTACAAGCATTTGTTTTTAAAAGTTATGTTCTAAATGTCTTTTAAACGTTTTTTAAACGTCTTTTAAGCATTCTTTAAGTAAAAATGTTGAGGAGACGTTTAAAAGACATTTAGAACGTAACTTTTTTTAAAAATACCCCCTTTAAGATTTTATTTTGCAAAAAAGCCTTAGTTTTTTGAGTTTTATTTTCAAAAAAAAGCGAAAAAAAACCCACATTGTAAAGATAACAGTTATAAAACAAACATAGCAATAATTTTTTAAGTTGATATTTTTATTTTCAATGTTTATTTTTGAGTAGTGATTATTTTTGACAATTATTTGAGTTATTTAATTCTTAATCAAAATAAGTTAAAACAACCTATATGTAACGGTTTTTACCAATGAGCAGTCGTGCCAAAGGCCGAAAGACTTCAAAAGAAAAAAAACTATAGAATCATCAAAAGCAGCTGAATAATCTTATCAGATCAAAATTACTACTTTGTTGCAAAAAACAACAACTGAACCGGTGGAGGAAGAGAACCCTCACGGTAAACTACAAAATCAGAAAAAAATTGACATAGGCATTGAAAAAAATAATACAGAAAATCAGGAACCCTATGCAAAAGATAGTAAAATTCTAACGGAAAATCTTGTTAGAAACTCGGGGGATTTTAGTGAAATTGACAAAAAAAAAAAAAAAACAATGACAGAAATGGAAGAACTCATATTAAGGCTCGGTTTAATGATTTTAGTTGGTTATTTTATGATCGATCACTGAAAGCTGTAATTGTGAAATCTGTCAGGTCTATTTCGATTTTTAGGCTGTTTTCGATAGCGTCGACCGTTTTGGGGCGCCGACTTGGTCGCCGCCCAAATTAAATTTGAGGCCCTTTTTTTTACCACGTTTTTTTTACGTTTTTACGGCGAATATTTTTTTTTTTTTCGCGAAAAAATTTCCGTTAAAGTTTGCCAAAATAAGGGGGTACCGCCGCCCAACTTTTTTCCCTAAAATAGGCCTTGCCCGTACAAAACATGATTCATTTTCAGGTGGAGTGTGCAAGCATGGAGTTGGGCTTAGAACATGGAACAAATCTGCTGTAGCATTAAAAGATCATAAGGACTCAGTGTTTATAAGGCTGTAAGTAGACTCAGTGTTTATAAGGCTATAAAGATCGAGAAAGAAAATATAAAGTTTACAACATTAATTGCTCAAATTGACTAAAAGTACATAGAGAAGCATGCAGTTTGAAGAAAAAAATTAGCTCATTTCAGAACATTGAAAACATTGATTCGACAGGGTGTAGCTATAAGAGGTGATAATGATAAAGAATCCGTTGTTTACCAGTTTAATTTGGATAAGAGTAAAAGTGACTTAGGTATTAGAAATTTTGATTATTATTTATCATTAGTTTTATCTCATGACATCATGCAAGAGCAAGAACAACTTCTCATCTTAGAAGCACGAAGGCGGATTGTTGAACTGGTCAAAGATAAAAATTTCTATTCGTTACTTGCGATTGAATCCTCAGATATTACTAAAAAACAAATGTCGTTTGATATAAGAACTTTCTGTGATAACTCTGAAGTGAATGAAGATTTTATCGGAGTATATGATGAGCCCATTTCCAAAAGCGCTAAGTCACAAAAATAAAAAAATTGAATCAATTACATTTCTACATTCTATATACTGAAATCTATTTTATATACTGAAATCTATAATCTATTTAAATATTAAATCAAATTAAAGACTTTAAGTCCTAAAAATTTTCAAGGGAAATATCGAAACATTTTTAAAACACGCTAAGTCATACAGGTTTACAGCTTAAAAACTTACTAAGTCCGCAGCGAATCAAATGGCGTTATGATTTTTTAACAACTATATGTCAAGGGGGGCAAAAAGTTAAAGGTTCGATTTTTTTGAGAAATATATGTCTACTGTCCAGTGTTTATTTTTTATTTTTTTTGAATATAGAAATAAAAAATAATAACTTTGATTTTGGTTACCTAGCATCAAGAAATTAAAGAAAAACAAGTTTAGTTCGAATTTTTACTTAGTTTCCAATTAAAACATTCTACAGCGCGTATCTTTTTTTTTTTAAAAAAAACATATATAATATGAAATCCATTTCAAGAATTCGGGTAATTTCTTTATGGGAATTCATTACAAATTCTTTATGGGTATTCATTGCAGCCTTTCCTGGCTCATGGTCAATTAAAGAAACGTTTTTAGTCTACGGAGACTACTGAATAATTGTTCTGCTGTACAAGTTGATACTGACTAGACCAGAATTATTTTAATATAAAAGGACAATTTCCGAGGCAATTCTTTTCAATCCAATTTATTCTTTAGCTCGGATGAAATCTAGAACTGATTAAAAATCTTCCAATTGAACTTTTTTTCTGTTAGGTTCGTCAATGAAATCAAAGATGTCAAAGATGTTTAAACAATGTTCCAATTTGGTGTCGATTTTCGCTTTCTTTTAGTCTTTTAGGCTTGAAAACCAAGCAAGCCTCATTAGTGAGCCTCTGGTAAAAGCTATGAACTTTTGAACGATATTTTGACATGATACTTTCTAAATCGTAAAAACTACTTTAAAACACTAATATACAGCGTGAAACAAATCTTAAATTGAGATCAAAAGACTATTGATATCTTTTTTCGAAAAAAATGTATTTTTATATGAAAAAATGTATTTTCATATGAAAAAATTAAACTACTTTTTCAAGTTTTTATCTTAAAAAAAAATTTTTTAAGATAAAAACTTGAAAAAGTAGTTTAAATTTCACCCCATACTCTACGCCTATGTTTACATATATATATATATATATATATATATATATATATATATATATATATATATATATATATATATATATATATATATATATATATATATATATATATATATATATATATATATATATATATATATATATATATATATATATATATATATATATATATATATATATATATATATATATATATATATATATATATATATATATATATATATATATATATATATATATATATATATATATATATATATATATATATATATATATATATATATATATATATATATATATATATATATATATATATATATATATATATATATACGCCTCTGTATATATATATATGCCAACATCAACGCAAAATGATATATAAATGCTCTGAAATAAAAGATATTGACCTTTACCTTTTTAACGCTTATTTTTATAATGCTATAAAAAATTGTGACCAAGACAAATTTATATTAAAGTTTTTGTCTTTTCAGAAAAAACAACGATATAGAAAAAGAGAGCATATTAAAAAAATTTGGAAAAGGTCTAATTATAAAATTAGTCATTTTATGGAAAAAGAAAACAGACAAATACTTCGTGTTTTCAAAAACAATTTTTTAAAATGCTATCATGTTAGTAAAATTCGTGTTCAAAGTATTGCAAAACATTTCTTTACCCATGGTAATCCTAGAAAAGAAAACAGAGGTAGTGATAAAAAAAGCTATAAATTCAAGGATAAGCTAAAGGATGTGATAGAATTTATAAAGAATCTTGCTGGAAGAGAAAGTCATTATAGCAGAAAAAAATCTAAACTTTATCTACCATCAGAGCTTAAAAGTATTAAAAATGTATGGAAATTGTATCCAGAAAGGAAGCCCAATCTACCGGTGACATTTGAGTTTTCATAAAAATATTTATACTCAACTTTAATTTAGGGTTTGGTTCTCCTAAATTGGATGCATGTTCATTTTATGAAAGAATTCGAAACCAAACAAAGATTGAAAATGACTCAGAAAAGAAAAACAGTACTGATTTAGTTGCTCATAAGCATAGAGCAAATGATCTTTGATCTATGATCTTTTAAAGGAAAAAAGAGGTGGTTTAAGAATTATTTGCTTTGACCATCAACAAAACCAAGTCAGTCCTAAGGTTCCAGATCACCAAGCTTATCATAGTAGACAACTATACATATACAACTATACATATACATATACAACTTTTGTGTTGTAGAATATAAAAATAACGGGTCTTTAAATCAAGATAATGTATCTATCACTATCTATACTTGGAATGAGAGGGATTTCAAAAAGAATAGTTTTTCCTTTTCCAGTGCAGTATTTGACAAGCTATGCAATACAAACATGGTTGGCTTAGACACTGTTCGTTTAGTTTTTGTCGCATGTGGTTGTCAAAATAAAAATATTGCTATGATTTATATGGCAGGCTTCTGGCTGTTAAAACATGCACCGATTTTAGTAAAAACAATTGAGCTTT